TGAATTGAAATTGTTAGATATTTATGTAAGAGTATATGAGGATAATGACGACGGTGATGATGGTAATGATGTTGATGGTGATGATGATGATGGGTGATGGTGATAGAAGGAAGTTGATGATGATGATGATGATTTTTATAAAAATGTTAACAGAGGTAACAATGCCTATGATGACGACTAACAACAACAGCGACAACAAAATTAATAATACTAACAACAACAACAATATTAACAATAACCCTCAACTCTTGCAACGATCGATCGTGCGTGCCAGTTAACAGAAAGTCCAGACCTCCTACCAAAATTCAGAACAGAAAGCTATGGATAGCATAGTTTCGTTTCTCTTTGGATGACGTCGTTTCTCTTTGGATGACGTCATTTCTCTTTGGATGACGTCATACTTCTCTTTGGATGACGTCATATTTCTCTTTGGATGACGTCATATTTCTCTTTGGACGACGCCAGTGGCTGATCTAGACAACTTTGACTGGGGGAGACCTAAATTTTGAGAATGAGACCGGGGGTGGAATTTCGTAAATGTTTAAACGTCCGCCAGTGACGAGGGAGGCCGGCATTTTTTCAAAACTGCCCTGACGACCGTTTTGTATTCTTTCACCGCGTCAACTTTTCGTCTAACAGGGTACATTTTCCGCTTAAATAATGAATTTTACTGACTTTTAATACAAGTGATGCTTATAACGCGAGGTCCCCTAGGTCCACCATTGGATGACGTCATTTCTCTAAGGATGAAGTCATTTCTCGGCGGTTGCTGCAACAGGAGTCTGAATTAGACAGCCTAAGGAAGTGGTAGATGTGATGGATGGAGGAGAGGGAAATGTCCGTGGAGGAGTTGTGACGTCACTTTTTTTTGCTCTTCAGCTTTTTGAACAGAGCCTCTGAGTTCGCTATATTTAGAGGGCCGTTATATAAATTACCACTAACAAATAATAATAATTATAACCAGTAAATGAATAACCAATAATAATAATTATTATTATAATGTGTACTCTTTTATTATCAGAAAACATCAAGACATATCAAAATAAAATCAAAAATTTAATATCTTGCAACTGCAAACTAAATTTAAATATATTAGAAAACCAGATAATAATAAAAATAATTACAACTATAATGAATAGAAGCTTTATCACGACGGCGATGATGTTGTTGGTGATGATGATATTGATACTAATAACATGTATGCACATATATATATATATATATATATATAAAATAATAATATATATATATATATAATAATTACAACTAATAAATAATAAATAAATAAATATATATATATATTTTACATCACAAATAGTTTACAAACAATATATATATATATATATATATATATATATATATATATGCGTTTTCGGCACTATATATATATATATATATATATATATATGCGTTTTCGGCACTATATATATATATATATATATATATATGCGTTTTCGGCACTATTCAACTTGTAGTCGAAAGCGGCGTTGTGTTAACTCTAATCTCAACCAACTACAAGTTGAAAAATGCCGAAAAATTAGTGATCTTTTTAAATAATTGTATTTATGATAGTCTATATATATATATAAATATATATATATAATATATATATGTGTGTGTGTGTGTGTGTGTTTTTAATTAGAATTAGATATATATTTTTCCTAATGTAAAAAATAACATAGCCTTATCGTGTAAAACAAACTAGATATACTACTAAAAACTCTTCTTCCCTTGCTCTATTTAGAAAATCTATCTATTTGCTCATTCAGTCAAATTATTTCAACCATGTCCTCTGTTAATGCGATTGTTTTCCGTTAGGTACTTTATATTTATTCAATTTTAAGAAGGTTTATT